GACTACTGACATCTAGAAAAATGAAGACAACAACCCACCATAGCAAGATTCACTGTATATATTGGAAATTTCTCTTCTGTTCAATCACATAACATTACATAGAGCCCTCTGGAAGCACAGCATAGGAGTTGCTGTGAAATACAGGAGCTAAAGAGACAAATGGGTAAAAAGAAAGTGGAAGCTGCCCAACAAGGAGCTACACAGCAGAATTAGAGATGGCACAAAGCTTCTGTTGAAATTATGGGAGTTAATTCCCATAATTGAGCATGGTAGTCTGCCATCACTTCAAACATCAATGACACATCAGAAGCAAAGTTTTAACTGTACTGGCAAAAAAATCAGTTTGGCTTACAGGAAAAAAGAACAAAACTAAAAAGGTAGTTTCATCTTGATAATGTCATTAAGACAAACATCTCAAAAACAAATATTCACTTTAGAGCTCTGAATTGAAGCAGAATGATAGCATAACATAAATTGAAAATTTTTCACCTTGATGAACAGAACATGATCCACTAGAATTGCTGAGAAACAAGCAGGTATCTTGAGAGTTTTTTCTGACACAATCCAGCATTTGCAGCTCTCAGTTTAGGAGGAAAAGCTTGTGAATGGAGTATCTTCTCATGGATCCCTCTTTCTTCTATATACTACTTTAATGAACCTTGTTGTTCTGACTTCAGCAAAGACAGCTTAACAATGGGGAGCCTGTGCAGAGCCATTGCCCCACAATGTGGGTCTATTGATCAGTTAATAACATTTTGGTCACAACCTGCACAGTTAGCATTAAAACACCCAAACTCACCTGTTCTTTAGTGATGCACCAAATTTTCTCTCCTTCCCCCAGTCATAACTCACATACCAGCTTCTTGCTTAGTGATCAGTATTCCCTGTTTGACCAAATCCATTTCTGACCCCAGCTCTGTGGCTGGCTTTGCTGGAAATTGTCCTGTCCTACTCTGTTCTTAAGAGTAACACAGGGTATAGAATATGCCTGTGATGAGGAAACTAGAGAACACATACACAAAAAATACCTATGTGCCTTTTCAGTGTTGCATATATGTAAAGCAGCAGTAACACCGAAGACACTCCAGCTTGGCAATAATTGCAGAATGACTGAATGACTGCTAGAAAGCTTCAAGAACACCGTGACATCTTGTTAAAGCTCACAATCACAGCTTTGGAAACCAGTAACTTCCTTTATAAAGTTGACAGCTTTCTCTGCCCTATGGTACACTATACAAAGTAGCTGCAAGTCTATGCCATCACACCATCCAATGCATTCTCTGTGAAAAAATATATTCTACTTGTGCTAGTTTTAAACCAAGTCTCAAAGATATCGTAATATATGGCTCAAAATACCTTTTTGTGATGTTACTCATTGCTGACAAATTACTTAAATGGGAAGATCAGAAAAACACTTCATTTCCATTTTTCAGTCTTCTATCCTTGAGAAACATTGTCAGGCTAAGAAATAGCTATGGGGAGCCCCCTGTTAAAATGCTAGTGGTGATAATGCAGATTAATTTTCACTACTGTCTCATGAGTATCTTCATGCTGGGAAGGGAATCATTGTTTACATATTGATGAGAACAGCAGAAAGATACTTCCCTGTAGTTTCACATAGGCAGTACACAAGAATGGGACTGCAGGATTCTCAAACTCTCACCTGAAGTTTCTGTACAAAAAGGGGCACATTTATAACCCCCTACTGCTATACAAAGAAGAAGATAATCTGTTCTCCATGCCCATCGTGAACAGGACTAATAATGGGTTTAAATTACAATGAGAAAGCTTCAGTTTAAATACAAACAAAACCCCTTCTATCAGCAGAGACTGGAAGAGATTGCCTGGGGAGACTGCAGAGTCTCTATCATTTCAGAACTTGAATGGTAGCTTAGACAAACACCTGTTCTAAATCTTGAGCTTGCTGAGCTTTGAACTGTCCAGTACATTAAGCATGGCAAGGCTCCACATAAGCTCCCCAAGCAAACGAGCTCTCTGACAATGTACACGTGCACTGCTATTCAAGTTACTTTAAGAGCTACTTAACAGCAAGTACACATCAAAATAATCCACACTTTATTTTACTCTCATCCCTAAGAAATGACAAACACATTAAAATAGTGTTGTGGGTTTGATTAAAACCAGGCTACTTCCTTTAATTTCCAAAACTGTACTTACAAATTGAGTATCTGTAACTATGCCTATATACCTCATAGAGGGATATTTTCATCTCAGTTTACAAAACGTGAGTTAGACCTGTGACAATATCATAATTGTTATGATAGACCATTTATTGACCAATAAACATGTTGTGTAGGAGAAATAACATCAACTTGTTAATTTTTAAGTTAATATGGAGAAACTGTAAACCTATACAGGTTTCCCTTTGACATATGCTTCTGACCACCTGTTTTCTACTTTGTGCTCTGTAGGTGAGCACAGCAACTGTTTAGACAAACACAGAGCACAAGAGGAATTCAGCATAACAAGTTTTTGGGGGGAATCTTGCTTTCTAAATTAATACTAGAGTTTCTTTTGGATATGAAAGATGTAAGAGGCAAATTCATTTAAAAGCCACATTGTCCAGGTATTACTAGCACTTTCTGACAATTATCCAATTCATCAACATCCCTTTTAAACTTTTAACATCAGAACCGGACACCAGCATCCCTATTTTGGTTTCCGTAGTGCCATGTAGAAAGGTAATATTAACTAGGTATTTTTCAGTACCTTTGCTTACACATTCAAGAATGTCATTCATTTCCTTGACATGCTGTTTTATTCATTGTTTAAGAACATCTAAGACTGAACTGATGCCCCCCTCATATTTTCTCCCTTTCTACTCCCACCAGCACTGGCATTTTTGACATCAGTAAATGTTTCCCGTGAAGATGGAAAAGCACAGCCGGAGAAGGACAGAACATTTCAGGCAAAAGTGAAGCCTTTATGTTAGTCCTGACAGTGCATCTTTCACAACAGGATACTGGCCCATTCCATTGCCAATAGCATCAGTCTGCTACAGCATTTAAATATGAACAAGTAGAAGTATTACTTGAACTTAATTATTTTAGCAGATGTATATACACATAATATTTACATCTTATTACTTGATCTTTCAGAGAAAAAAGTCATTTTACTTGATTTACCATTATCCTTACAATCAAATGCTACCACCACCATGCTTTTCCTTCGACTTTCCTAGGAAAGGGTCACAGCAACCTGACAAATGATAAAGCTGTCTTAGTTTGTAAGCAATATACAAAAATCAGTCACAGGAAACAAGGAAGATGGATATCCAGGACTGTTCAAATTGGCTTCATGAAGACTTACTAACATGATGTCCTATGCCTCTCTTTGCCTACTCAGTTTTGCTCAGGGCCAGTTTAATTTGAAAAGACGCCCAGAGACATCTCTTAGCATTATGTGTTTGGTCCTAAGCAAGCAGTAAGGAACTGAATTCATTAATAAAGCTGACAATCCTTCAGGAAACTTGTCATTCTCCTTTCTGCTTACTACAAAAGAACAGCCAAAAGAGAGCACAAAACTAGTTTTCAGCTTTAAACACGTAGGTCTCTTTCTATGACCTCCACTGAGGTTCTTGTTATGGTAGCCCTGGACCATATCTGAAACACCCACAGACCTTTAGACTTGCTTGACATATCCCTTTTAAAAATGTCTAATTCCACTTCAGCTCATTATTTAGTTACTCAGACATAGACACACACATACACAACCAGCTAAACATGACTTAATAGCCAGGTCTAGAATTTAAGCTTCCAAAAATCTTCCTGTTACATTCTAATAGCAAGAACACAGGGAAGAGTAGTAAAGTCAGTAATGTGTATCTGTTGCTAAAGGCAATCTGTTGTAAGTGTAAAATCAGACAGAACTGCAGTTCTGCAGGACAATGAACATCAAGCGTGGCCAGCTGGAAAAACTCTCATCTTGTTGACCATAACAACTCCATGCACTATCTAAAATCAGAAGACGGGCACACATCAAAGTATAGGGCTACTATACTTTGTATTCTGGAATTCAGAAAGTTGTAAGTATTAGTCAAAAATGTCTGCAAAAACACCATTATTAGAACCAATCCTTCACGACTGAGTTTCTAGACAGCATCCTGGTCCCTTCTATTGAAATTATATTTTTTCATCAATTTAAAATGGAGAGAATTCTAGTTCAATCAGAACTGCAGATACCCATCATTCAAACAAATTATTACAGTTCACCATCACATTGCATCCTCTTGGGAAAATCGATACATTCTTGGTAAGTAAACACCAAGCTTACATGTATTGTAAGCTTATTTCTATCTTAGTTGTTACACAATATCTGAAGTGGCCTTCTTCCTAAAATGGGTTTTTCCCCAGTATGCTCTAGATTCAGCTCTCATTCTGCATTTAAACAGGGTTTCAGGTGAATTAAAAAGGACAGATATGGCAGCCCTAAAGTAATATATGAAAGTCTTATTGTATTAGTCATTTTTCCTGTCATTTTGTATTAGTGTCATATTAGTCTAATGTAATACTAACATGATACTGAAACGTTAGCATATCACAGATTACTCAGTGTGTCAAGCTTGAGTCTGATCATATTACTTTGCTGTGTGTATTCCAGTGATGAAACTCTTCCTTTCCATCCCCTGAAACTGTGCAAGACTAACAGAAAACACGAGGCACAGGCTGTGCAAGAGTCTAACACTTCATAATAGGTATTAACACCTCTTGTGCCAAAGGCAAGAACCCATTTCTAACAGATCAGATAATATTGATTCAGTCCAGGAATTTGTTAATACAAGTAAGATAATCCTTTACACTTCAAGAAGATTTTGAATCCCTTCATACAAACTGAAGAACTACCATCAAAACATCAGCACTTACAAGTGTTCCTATGATAGGGGAATCCAACTAGGAAATAAAAGCATTGGATATATCCCTGTTGAGTCGTCTTTGCAAAACCAGGAGCTGTTAAAATTAGGTAATAAAAAAACCCCTATATGTTTTCTTGAAGTATATTTTATTCTAGTGGCCTAGCATTAAACAGAAGTCAACTGCATTCCTGAGGGCTAGGATCTATGGCTGGCGAGGTCTAGAAAAAACAACAGAAAAGCAAAGAGTAATTTCTGGCCTGGACAATAATCACACTCAGGAAATAGCATGTTAACAACAACAGAATAAAAATCCCATCTAATTCATCCATATTATGTTCTTAGGTGATACTTATTTATTGAATCACTATTTGAATATTTCTAATCTAGGCACAGGTGGGACTATGGGTGAACACCACAGCCATTACAGTGTTGTATTTCCCCTTCAAAAGAAGAGGTGCAAGCTATGTTTCTGTTTCAGGGATCCCCATGATGATCATTTAATTAACTAAAGCACTTTAAATATTTAAGTAAAAGGTTTAAATAAAGCATTTATTGCAAACAAACACTTACAGAACCCAAACAGCTTAAATCACATCTTAAAGGCCTTTGGAAATTAAGCTTAGTAAACAGCTACAGAGGAACAAGAAACTTCCAGAATCTGAAGTGCTCCCATGTGAAAACAAATGTTGCTAAAAATGAGGAGTTAGGCCAAAATACAACCCACTTACTTAGGTGTGTACATCAGCTACTTTGATTCATTCTAAAGCTGCAGTTAACTATGGTAGCACTCAATAAAAAGCCTGTTTCTATTCATAGTCTTTGCCTTCTGATTACCCTGCTATGCTTTTACAATAATTACTATGCATTACATTTCAGTGAGGTTACACAGCTTCCCTGTCCCAAGTTTCTATGTTATGTTCCTCTACATGTTGTCAGTAACTACTGTTACAATCACAATTAGCAAGGTAGAACTCTACCAGGTGACTGCAGAGTAAGAACTGTCATGTGAGGCTCACATGTACTCCCTCAGACATATACATGCACTCTGGCAAGAGGCACAAGAGCAAGCAGTACTTCTGTTTCCTTCTTTATTAAAGTGAAAAATAATGGATTGAAAAACAACAAGTAATAAGAACAAACAGCAGAGCCATTACAACCTATACATTCAGAGTTCTGGTATGATATTTAACTACATACTGCTGTTGAATTTTTTTGTATTTCAAAGTTCAAGCGCACACACCACACTCGCTCCTGTTCAACTACAGTAGAATAGTATGAAAACCTCTCTTCACAGGTTACTAGAGAAGTATAGGCATAGGCCAACTTTTTGCTTTAATGCCATCATCTGTACTTCTCCACATGCATAAATGTGCAGTTAGCTGCATATATGCAAGGATTAACCTCTCATACATCATTTACCAGCTATACCAAATACATAAGGGCTTTTATTCAATAATACATTGTTCATAAATACTAAGAACAACACAACATGACAAAACTGTGCTATTTAGTCTTTAGAAGGTTTTTTTAAGTGATTTTAGGCTCCCTAAGTTTACTGCAAGGAGCAGTAAAGTTTCAGCCTAATTTTACAGGTTTAAACCAAGATGCAAAACGCCAGCTTTTATATAATGAAACACTATTGGAAGCTAGACTACCAGTTTAATGCATTTCAATGTACTGAAAGAAGCATAAGCATGTGATTTGAGGAACAGAGTTTTATTGAATTTGGATAAATATTTAAAGCTTTTTAGAGTCCTATGTAAATCCAATAAATACACGTTTGATCAAACTGCCATCTGCTGGGTATTCCTGGGATTTAAGCAGTTTGGTTAAACACACTACAGCATCTGAAAACATTTTAATAAGAACTAAGAGAAATCTTTGTTTTCATAACATGATTTTTGGCATTTGGTTGGCAATAACCAATTGCCCTTGTTCCAGCAATTCAGTCAGCAGTAGCAGCCTTTGGACTAGGTCATGCTACCCTGTGACCCTGCATAGCCAAATTCATCCTGCTCACACCAACACTCACTCTCACCTCTCTTAACTCCACCTGTGCAGTCCTTGAAAAGAAGAGTGCACACAACTGAATCCATATTGCCTGAAGCAATCATGTTCTGTGACTTTAGTAGAGGTTCTGACTGCTTGTTCAGAAAAAAAAAAAGTGACAAGAAGAATAAAAAAAAAAAAGAGGAAGAAATCACAAAGGAATAGTAGCAAATTACAGAAATTACTCCCATAAACACAAGACCTATACAACAAGGGGGTAGTGTTCTGATAACTCATTTTTCAGGACATTAGGGAAATATTTCTCATTGAAATCATCCAAGGTTATAGTCATTGAGAAGCCAGGACTTAGTAATAAGTTATTAAACTTGTCCAGTACACTAATTGTGGTACAACCAAGTGCAAACAAAGCATTCCTAGAAAATTTTCATGAAAAGAACTAATGGGGGTATGCAGAACTTAAAAGCGAGATTTCAAATTAGTTAGGCCCTGAAGATAAAAGTAAAACTAAAACCTGGAGACTCTCAAAAACCATTAACAAAGTAAATGCATTGTACAGAGGAACCATCAATTGTATTCACCTTTTCTCTAAAAAGAGGGCAAAGTAAAATTATGAAATGCAAGCACAGTCATCAACTGGGAATTGGGCTGATCTGAAAGGCTGTTATGGAGGTGTTCATTGAGAGGTGTCTTGCAACTTCTCCAAAGCACCTTTGTTGTATTCCAGGCCCTCAGGCTTATCTGTTTTGCAAACCCAGTAAGTCACCAGCTGCTTCTTTCCTTGAGACCCGATTACATTTTAAAAATCCTAAGTCACCTTTCTGAGCACTTAAATTCTAAGACATTCAGAATCAGAAATTCAGGTACAACAGTTTTTCCTAGAAGTGAAAAATGGCCTTTAAGGCGCAGGAAGATACCATTGCTATATGAACAGAAGAGGTCTTTGGGGATTCAGTTTAGAAGCTCTGGTTGGAAGAAACCAGAGCTCACACAGTTCAGTCTCCCACTCAAAGCAGGACTACTCAATCAGGTCAGCTGAGGCTTCACCAGTCTGATAAACTGGAAGTTCAAAAAGTCCAAACGCACCTAAGTGTGGAAAAAAACCTTAATGGACAAGAAATAGAGACAGCCATGGTAGTTGATGGAATCTTTCGAAGACAGAGGCTGTAATCTTCAGAAGTGTGAAATACATTCAGAGATATGCTCCCTAATTTTATAACTTACTTCTACCATACAATAATTTTACAAGGTGTAATGTCGTATTGTTAGTCCTGTATGACATTTTGCACCCAGTCAGAGACTGCAGACTCTGGCATTTCCTAAGAATTACAAGATCATCATCTTATGATAGATGCTTGCAAAACCTGCAGCCAGTTTAGTCCGTAAGGGCCCATTAAGTTCTTTGGAAACTGCAGCAGTAGAAAATGCACAAATTGGAACTAAAAATGCCAACTCAAGAAAATTAGTGCACAAGAAGTCAGCCATGCATTTGTGTACCATATTTCAAAGTCCAAATATAAAGTGGTGTCCTGGCTTGGCAGAAATGAAGTTTAAGAAGTACCTGGGTCAAAATTAGTTATTCCTTAGAGAAGATTGCCTGTCAGGGAAAGCCATGTTGGAACAAACCAAAAACCACCAGACTGCTACAAAAATAGGATGGCGTCATAACTGCATTATGGTATGAAGTAGAGGATTAAAGTTCACTTATTAACCACAATTTCTCACTCTCGAGACTTAAATTCACCTGGATGAGAAGCATGATAGTTATTGCATCTGACTTGGAATGCTTGGGCAAAGCACTGACCAGGACTACTAAAAGGTTCCCTACAGGTGCACAGACTGCAAATACTCTTATCAAAGCCTCAACTGAAGGCACACCAGACAACCAGAAACTGAGCTTTTCATAACACCGAGGGAATTTTCATCTGCAGTTTTACATCAGCCCCAATACGGAAATAACCACAAAACACAATATCTTCTTCTACTGGTTTCTTAGATTTTCTTGAAATATTTAGACTCCTTGGCAGAAGCACATGATAGAAAAGAGTGTACATGGATATTAGTTGCTTGTATACACTTCAGTCATTTGCTTGCCATCTGAAACCTTGACTGTTATGCAACTGCAACCTTCAGGTTTGGAGAAGAGGAATTTGGTTTATTAGGGTGCTTGAGGCTTTTTTTTTTTAATATCCCTGCTCAAAGATCCTATTAAATTTTAAGATCAGATTACTACACTCATACCCTTTGTGAAGTGATTATTTAACAATAATTTAGACTAAAGCCGCTGTTATTCTGTATTAAGTACTATTGATAATTTACACAAAACATTCTAATAATGTTCATACTAGAAGTACAAAAAAAATAGGGTGCTAAGTACTGCCTTTTTAAAAATGGTTAATTGTGAAGCAGCATACATCATTGGCATTCAGAACCTCAATTATACAAATATAGCAACCAAGAAAAAAATCTAAAACATTGAGAAACCCATTTCTAACTTACTAAAAGGAGTCCAAAAATGGAAATGTATTGTAAATAGCAGCATCATGTTTGATCATGCATGCATGACCTTAAAATGTCATTTTATCCACTTTAATACAAGAAAGGTTTCTCAAGATATCAAATAACATATATAAAAGAGTACATAATTTTTATTCCATTTATATTTTTTATGTATCACACATACATATGACTATCTCTGTATTCCATATAAACAACTTTTTTATATATATATGGAACTGCTGAAACAAATAGTGCAAAATACTTTCATAGCCATGCCTAAAACAAACTACAGCACAGCTGGGGGGAAGTGGGGTTGTCAAATATTTTTGAGACCTTTATATAAAGTCTAGTCCACCATCCTGCTTCATCAAGGAAAGTTCGCAAAGTAGATTTTTCCACCACAGCTTCTTAATAAGAAACGTGCAGAGATTACACACAAAAATCATCCATATGGTAATCTGACACTGCACAAAAAAATAAGATTACCTCTGGCCCCAATCCTGACAATGAAGTGTTGGCACAAATACTTCTACTGCTGAATTAAGTAAATGCTCCTCAAGCTGTACTAATGCTTTAGTATTAGTATTACACATCACTTTTCATCCTTGTCACACTATTGCATTTCTAGACCAATTCTGCTTCTTTGTGCTGTAGTTTCATACAATTAAGAGTAAGCATTTTAAATAAAAGTTATTTTCTCCATGCTGTACCATTACAATATTCACATAAAAGTAGCATTACATACTTCCTTTATTCTTGGAATACTGACAAATTGAAGTACTTGAAATATTTCAAAGTTACTTTTGTTGGTAATTTAATATTACACATGCTCCTTGCTTATGCTCACTTGATATGGATGGAACTGAATGATGATGACTTGCCTTCCACTTGTGCCACAGAATTCTGATACAAGTGAGAAAGCAATTTAACCCTATTTTACATGGCTGTTACTTGCACACTGTATTCACTTATCTAAAACAAAGCAATTAATTCCCTTTTGTAAAGAGCTGCTCACTTATTTGGGAAAAAAACCATGAGAAGTGCAGAGCACAAACCACATCGGAAGCAATACAGATTGTTTCATGAAGTACAGAAATATACCTAAGTGTGAACAAATGTGTCCTAACACTGAAGCCAACCATTCTGGGCTAAGATCTTGTAAAATCCATTTTAAGAAACCACTCCAATATTTCACAGAATACTTGGGGCAACACTTGAACTAGATGTGTTTTCTATATACTGCAAGACATATTTATCATATATTTATGTTGGTAGATACCATTCTCCAGCAAGCTGCTGAAGAATCAAACATATATGGACAGAGCACAACACAAAGCTACATCACAAAGAAAACAATTTAAGATGCAAACAACATTTACATCACTAAAACTCCAAAGGTTACATCTACAGGATTTTTTTACTCAATACATTCAATCCTAAAAAGACAAACAGCCTTCTTCAGCCAGTTCTTCACATCCTGACGTTTGTTTCCATTGTTAAAGTTTTCCGAGTGTGGTCTCACATATCTGTTGCTAATTCATAATATAACCTGAAAGGCACTACTGAATAGTCCTGCCAACTATTGCCATGAAAACATATTTATTTTTATATCTATTAAGATTTAAACATTGACTCAAAACAGTAGCAGCAAGAGAGGAAGTGATTTCAAGTCTATAACACTTTATCTTGTAATACTGAGGAAAAAATGCATATAAGAGAAACATAAAAAAAACTCTAAAGCTCTAAAGATGTATAAGCTACATATGAATATAGAGTAAATTGCATGGATCTTCAAGTTACTGGCAAGTCTGACTCAGAAAGTGTAAGATTATAAAAAAAAAAAACCTAGAAAGGGGAATCCACAGAACATCAACTAGAGATTCAATACTTTAATGCTATGGAGATGCAATACTTAAATACTACTCTTTGAAATCATATTCTGCACATAAAGCACCAATTTTACCTAAGATTCTCTGAGAGATATGGATGTTACAACAATATTCTAGATCTGATCCTTTGTTTATGAATGTTTATGTAACAATATCAGAGCAGAGGTATCAATTCACCTTCTGTGTAAACAGTGAAAGCTCAGTGCTTGGCCTTCAAATCATACACAGTGAATGAACATCCAGCCATCTACACAGTACAACTAAAAGTATTAGATATTGGTAAAACATCTCAAGTTTTGCAATACTATACCAGCACTATATTACAAAGTACTAATTAAAGATGCACCACTTAAATTATCAGTCTTCCTAAACACCAATTTTCATGTCACTGTATTTTTTCTCAGTTTGAATGACGTGGAATAGGTCCTTACTACATAGATGTTGAGTCATGTAACATTCAAGAATCTGAAAGTTGTGGCTCTTAAATTTGAAAATTAAAGCTTGAAAAACTGAAAATTTAACAGTTGATGTTTATTACAAGGTCATTGTGCATCCATTTTAGAAGTTTAATATACACCAATCTGAACTCAGTGTTACATCAGTTAAATAGTTTCCTTCAAGTCTAGCAAACAGCATCACCGATAAAATTGGCCAGGAACAACTTCAAAACACTACAAAATAGCATTCTCCTACTCTGTGTCATTT